CGGTCTCTGCATTTGGATTGTTTAATCCATTCATATTTAATGTATTAAATAGTTGGATCTCTGCCTTGCCAGTTTACATTTTGTTTTTCATGTCTCATGTCTTTTTTGTTTCTCTGTTGATCCTTACTGCTTTCTTTTGCATTAAGAATATTTTGTATTGTAACATTTTAATTTACTTCTCACTTTAATTTTTTGAGTAATGTTTTTAGTGGTTGCTGTGGGCCCTATAATACACATGTTAACATGAAAATCCAACAATCCGTTGTCATAATTATTACTTTATATTTCATGTCACTTATAGAAGCTGGAAGAAGAAAGGTGAATAAGGATATATTTGTAGAATTCGTTATATTAATTCTATTTGCCATTTTTAGTTCATTTGTTATTGTGATTCAGGTTGCTGTCTGGTGTCATTTTCTTACTCCAGTACATCTTTATTCCTGTCTAACACCTGTTTTGGTCAAATACATTTCAATTTGTTATGGACTGATCAATTAACTATATATTTGTTGTTTAATACAGTTGCTTTTTAATCAGTTAATATAAAAAAGAAATATGCATTTATTCTGTGTTTTATAATAACATATTACCTTTACAGGTGTGCTTTGTTTTTTCATGTGGATTAGAATTGCTGTCTGGGGTTGATTCCTGTCCCCCCCCCGCTTGAAGAATATTTGTTAGTATTTTTTTATGAGGTGAATCTGCTAGCAAGAATTCTAATTTTGTTGTCTGTGAATGTTTTTATTTTGCTTTCAGTTTTGAAATGTAAGTTTTGCTGGATATAAAATTTTTGATATTATGTTTTCCTTTTATCAGTTACCCCACTGCCTTCTAGCTTCCATTATTTCTGATAAGTTGGTTGTTAATCTTATTGGTGCTCTTTTGTTAATAATAAATCATTTTCTTTTGCTGCTTTCAAGATTTTTTCCTTGCCTTTGTCTTTTAGCAGTTTTACTCTGTGTGTAGATGTAGATTTCCTTGTTCATTCTATGTGGAGTTTATTGAGTTTCTTAGATGTGCAGACTAATGTTTTTCCTAACTTTGGAAAGTTTTCAGTCATAATTTTTTCACATGTTTCTCTGCTCCTTTTTCTTTTTCCTTTCTTTCTGGTACTCCCAATGCAAAATTGTTGCTGTGCTGTGTCCTACGTTCTGTGAGGCTCTGTTCATTTTTCTTTTTTTCTCTCTGGTGTTTGAATTGCCTTCTCTCTACTGAATTTTAAGCTCATTGATTCTTCTCTTGTTCAAACCTATCATTGAGCTCCTCTAGTAAGTTGTTCATTTTTGTTATACTATTCAACTGTAGAATTTCTATTTATAAAAATATCTGTTTTAATAGTGACATTATTATACCTCACTTTACTTCTTTAGGCATGATTTCCTTTGTTCTTTGAACACGTTTATAAGAGCTGATTTGGAATTTTTATCTTCTGAGTTTGACATTCTGTCCCTCTCATAGGCAGTTTCTGTTGCCTGCTCCTCCCTACCCGCAGTGTATAGGTCACTTACTCTTTGGATGCATGTCTTGGAATTTTTTGTTGAAAAGGGAATATTTTAGATAATCAGTATCTAAAATACATTTTTTCCCCTCTCTTATCTTCCCGGGATTTATTTCTGTTGTTTGCTTATTTGTTTGCTACTTGGCTGGTCTGTGTTAGTGAAATCTTTCTTCTCCACAGAGAAAAGTGGATAACTGCTTTTCAGAGGGTGATTTGGGTATGTGCATAGTCATTCTGGATGACAGTGGTTTTAGCAGGGCTCTGTTTAACTGTCTCCTTCCCTGATGTGTCTGTTATACTGTCTGCTTCTGTTGGTGTCACACCTAGCTATTAAGCCCCACACCATTGCCTGCTAATTGCTCAACTTTATTTTTGACAGTGCCCAGGGCATAAATTACAATCTGATTCAATTAAATTCTGGCTCATATGCAGAGGTAGTGTTTTGAGGCAGGTATTTGAGGTTTGTTCTGATCTCAGGAGGGCTCTTGTTAGCTGTATCTTTTCCTGGTTGTCTCTGGTAAAATTGTTTGCCTATAGTTTAACTTCTTGCTTTCATGTAGCCACCAGCTTCCTCTTAATTGCTTACCATGATATCTTTTTTTTGGACAGTGCATTTAGGCTTGAACTTCCCCACACTCTGTTCCAAATAAAGTGAGTTTTCTCTGGGAGACACCTTTCATAGGTGTCTATTCTTAGACCTTTTCTCTTCCTCTGTGAAAAGTTACTACATCACTGCTCTGGAGCTATGGTTGGGCACGGTGTCCTGTTTCTCTTGGAGTGACACCCCTACTGCATGATGATGGCACTGCATGGGGGCAGTAGAAGACTCTGGTCTTCTCTTTTTGCCTCTTCTCTCCTGGCATGGAAATTCTGACCTATGTGTGAGCTCAGCCTACCATACCTAGGGCACATCTTCTACCTTGTGGGTGGAGGCTATGTGAAAGAGGGAGCCTCAGCCTCTTGGCCATGGTTGCCTGGGTTTTAGCCTCTGTACCCTGGCACTGAGAAGCATGAGAAACGGTGGCACTCTGACTGTCCCACTGGGAGCCTAGGGGTGAAGGAGCCCCATGTTTTCAGTTACACCTGTCCCCCAGTAAAGTTTCCATTGCACTGGGCTGTGTAGGGGTGAAAGAAGAAACAGGTCTTGGCAGTATCACAGTCTCTTTTTGTTTTTACCAAGATTTAGTAGATTTTCTTGAGTAATGTTTAATTTTCTGAATGCCCTTGGGACAATTTTCAAAGACTTTCAATGGGTTTTTTTTTTTTTTTT